CAAAAAAAAAAAAAAAAATACATCATAGTAAAACCAATACCTTCTCAGCTTCGCATCGAAGCTAAAATTGTTTAGCAATAAATTATTTACTATTTTTTATATTAATTGTTCTTTAATATCAATTTTCTAATAGTTATTATACAAAAAAAAAAGTAATAACAAGCACAACTTTTTTATAAGAATACATATATTTAATTTAATGTGGGAACACTTTATTCCGTCAAGTTATTACAGATTTTTTTTTCTATTGTGAAAAGCAAATAAAGAAAGTTTGTCTTAGCATGATCATTAATAAAATTTTCTGTGAAGTATTGTGTGAAACTCAAGAATTGACGATAAACTGTAATTATAGTTTTATAATAATTTATAAATAATTATTATATTTAGTGTAGTTCTATTTAGGAACAGTAAGTAGTTAAATTATCAAATTTATACCTGACGAAGACCACTTTACTTCATTGCTCATTATCATTTTTTTACATTGTTTGTAATATATTCGAATTAAGTTCATTTCTAATACTCTATCAATATTTTCCCATAAATCTGTGTTCGTTATAGAAATATCGCTGATAATATTACTAATAACACAGAAATCATCTACGTTCACCTATTTAACGATGTAAAAAAGTAAATAAGTGTCCCTAGAAATATTTTCCATTACTTGTGTTACTTTGATGAAAAATTCTCCGTAAGTTATATTGTGAAACCAAATCCAATAAGTAGTTGGCTTCATGTTAAAATTTACGCAATTCAATGTAATATAAGCTTTGTTTTGGGATAAGAAAGATACTCGATATTCGCTTAAATAAAAAAATACCATACATTTTTTATGATTGACATCTATTGTTTTAGAATTACACAAGGCTTGAATTTCATTTACTGTAAAGTATTATTGATTTAAAAAGCACTCGCAAATACATATCATATATAAATTAAATATACATAATTATATAAAATATACATTTTAGAAACTTATGTTTTTAATATGAGGTAAAAAGTACATTTGGCACAATTAGCTTAAAGAGAGTTAAGTACTCATTCAGAAAAAATGAGAAAATTAAGTTGACATAGATATTGAATCGATAAAAAATAATGATATAACGAATAATAATTTCGAGAGAACTTTCTGAATTACATGAATATTCTTCAATATATATATATATATATATTTCACAAAATTATTTCTTTAAGAATTTATAATCCAACTTGAAAATTAATGACAGTAATGAATATTTATTGAAAAACTATGATGGAAAAATAATAAAATACATTTGTTGATCAATAACTAAAACTATAACCCCCTCCTCCACAAAAAACAAAACAAAATGATAAGTGTAAATGCAATTGAAAGATTTTAATTCAAAAAAAAATTTATATAATTACTTAAAATGGACTCAATTTTTTTATTAGTTGTAAAGTTGGATACTTTTAAATATAACTATAAAACGTTTGTAAACTTGACATCAAATAGATATAATAATAATAATAGGATAATCAGTTAACTTTTTTTCATAGTAGATTATATTTTCAATGTCGTTTTGATTATATTATCTATGATAAAATAAATAAATTTGAAAGCGACCATATTTATTTTATTTTTAGTCAATACAGAAACATTTTACAATAATGTAAAATGTAGTAAAAAAGAATATTCTCGAGAAATATTGTTACAGTAATTTTACATCTTCACTAACTGTATCATCACTTACATTTAGGTTTTTTATGTAGAACATGGACATCAAATGGTATTTTAATTTTTTTGTATGGCGATATAACTTGAAATTCTTGTTTAGTGAACTCAAGTGATTTAGCAAAAAATTGTATATTTATTATGGCTTTATCCAACGCATAAGGTTGCCCTTTTAGTGATATTACTTTAATAGACCTTTTATTGAATATGCTGGTTTTAACGAAAACAAGTGTTGCTTAAATGAAAAATTATAATCAAAATAGTTTATTGGCTAAATTATAATAAATATGATAGAAGAATATTTTTAATAAAATTTATTGTAAATACAAATAGGTAATTTCTATATTTAAAATATATACGTGACAGTATTTGTCCATTACTGTTTTTATGTAAATGAGTTTCTACAGATGAATCGACACTACCGTACCTAAATCCTGTTTTATAAATGTTTTTTAACTTTAAAATTGAAACTTACAACATTTATATTAAAAATATTAATACAATTTGGAAGTTTGAAATTTATTACATTAAAAATGTGTTTATATTTGAAGAGTTCAAAGTTTGAAGTTAAATTCTTCATAATTTATAAAGGAAGAATTTAAAAGTACTTATCAATTTATAAATCAATAATTTTCTATATTAATTATTTTATTTTTATTTTATTTTAAGAGTAATTAAGCATATTATGATGATTCAATCATCACTTACAATATACCTGTGACATCTTGTGCGAAAGTTGCAGTATATTTAATGGTAAGCTTGTGATCATTACAAGCATTCCCACTCAAGTCAATAATGGATTGTCCAATAGAAAATCCTTCTTTATTGTTTTTCTCAATTTTTACAAAATATTTACTTGGCTTTAAGAAAGCCAACATTTCCTGATATGATATTGATTTTGTAAGGCAAGACGTAAACTGGCACTTAAAAATCATAGTCTTAACAACAGTTTCTCTCGGGAGCGTTACGTATAGTTCAAATAAAATTAATTTGAGTATCGCTGAATTTCGTCCTAATAGGTCCAAAGGATTGACTGAAAAGCTCAAGTGGATAATATTTAGAGCTAAAGCTAGAGTTATTGCATTATGGTAAATCTGTTAAAATATTTTATAGCTGATTAAACAGTGAATAATATAATTAAAATTAGTTTTGTACCCAATAATTTATTAAAAACCATTCTATCTAAAAAATAAACATCATCATATTTCTTTTATATATAAATAATAGTTAATTTAGCATTTGAGTAAAAAAGTAAACTTTTTTTATACGTTTTTCAGTCTATTAAGGGTAAAAAGAAGGTTTCTCAAATGAATGCTCTGGGACAGATGGTTAGACCATTTCCGTAGAGAGGTATGGTCACACCAATTACCAAATTTATTTTTCTCAGAAAACAGAGTCATAAACCTGAGACAGGTTGCCACGCTACCGATTCAGCTATACCATCTCTTTAAAAAGAAAACTTTATGTTTTTGAATTAGTCTTTTAACTATTGAAGACGAATTTCAAGATAAAAAGTGGTTTGTATGATACTTTATGATAAAAAAGTCAGTCATAAAATGTTCTAATCATAGTAAAAACTGTTTTTAGCTATTATATAATTTTTTTGATGTTCTAAAAAGTTGGTCCTTCTCTTAATTTGTAGTGATAACAACAATCAATATGTACAATAAACATTGATACTTACTTCAACTTCTGTTTTAGGATCGTATATGATATCATCTAAACCGTGATGGCTAGTACCTGATCTGTAGTAAATAATAACCATCGCCAATATAGTACAGTCATGCAAATCCTCTATAATATCTACAATCTTTTTGTCACAATATTTTTCATACAATATCAAATTAGACACTTTTAAACTCGTAATGTGAGAATTCAATGCTGTGTTAATCCAGTTAATTAACATTATGTCAATTTCATTGTATACATTTAAATTAGTACAGAAGTTGTCTTCATTTTCAGAATTATTTTGAGGACTGCTAAGATCACAAATTATCGTTTGGTTAATAAATACTTATTAACTAAAATATAGTGCAATATTATAATTTAAAATTTGTTTTTTTAACTTCCAAATTTTGTTTTAATGAAATTTGTAGACTTTACTTTAGTGGTGATTTGTTGCAAACTTTTCCGTTGTTTTCAATTGGAATATTATGAATTTTTTTTTTTATATAAATGGAATCTAATATACAGAGATATACATCTAACCACGCTCTTTTTGACATTTGTTCGTAATCTTGTCTAGTAATCATACCACTTAATGGTTTCAATTCATAAGATTCTTCGTCCTAATAATGTAAAATATTTATCTGAGTTAAAATTTTGCGTCAAGAATAATCTTATTTCACTGACAGCAAATCCTAATTTGTTCTTAGCAAATGATATGAATTCTTCGTAAGTCAAAAGTATTTCTATAGGAATATGTTCGACTTGAGCTCCATTGTTCCTCAAGTAACCAATGACGGCATTGTAGAACATCAGTAATTTTGTTATGTAGCATTGAGTTTTTGGAGTACTCCATGACTCCACCAAAGATTGCCTGTTAATTAAATTAATCGCCAATTGATTGTAATTATAAGTAAGAGTGGGTTAAAATAAAATGATGAGAATTTCATATGTTCCATGCGGCCAAAAATGAAATTATTATTATTTTTACTAATATTCGTTTATGTTATAACGTCTTCTACAAAAAGCTATGCCGTAAAAAATACGGGAAAATGTACATAGACCAGTACAAAAGGATTCAAACCCCAGTACGTAAGAACGAAGGCCAAGGCCAGACTTGAAAACTCATGACCCCTGAGCAGTTACAAAATTAGAACCCTTTTTTGATATTTAATTAAATATAATACTATTAATAGATTACTATTAACGCATCAAGATGGGACCGAAAAAAATTGAGTCTGCCTTGTTTTTCTAGGCCAAAAATTGACCCCGACTGAGTCGTGACGATTTTCAGACATAACTATGTATGTAATACATAATTTTGCAAAATTTATTTTGAGAATTATATTTTAATAAAAATTGTATTACTTACCCTAATTTTAAAAGTCTATCACAGTTAATTTCCAATGAAATAAGACATTTTATAAACGAAAACTTCTTTTGTGAATAAATTTGGTGAGCACCACTTATTAATTGAACAGCGATTGGTTCAAGTATTTGTTCAAAACCCATTAGAGAATTACCTAAAATTGGCCGAATTTGACTACCAAATACTCGACCAAACAAAAACTTCTCCAGGAATTTTAAATTTATCATCCAATTAGAATTAATGTAACATGAAAAATCTGTTGCATAAATGTAGTTGGATATATCGAATACCGCATTGCTTTGTACACAATAATTATAGATGAAAGATAAGTTAGTTTTTGAGTTTTTTAAACAAACCTCATAGTGTGATATCTGCAATGAGTTAATTATTATTATTGTTAATAGAATGTATTTATTTATTGTAATATATTTATAATAGTGAAATAAGGACACAAAAGTATGGTAAAGTATATCTTGAGGATTCTGAAATGAAGAAATGTATCATAATGCGGATTTATCGAATTATTTGTATATTTCAACTAACATGTAAATTGTTTTTTAGCTTGAAAATGATTATACCATAATTGATATTAGAACGTGTATTTTTTAAGAAGAAATACATTTTTTTCATTAGTTTAAACAGAAAATGAATATTAATTTTTTTTCCTTTGAAAAGTAAGAAATTGGTTGACAGGCTTCTTTATTTCTGTTGTAATATGACAATGTGTTGATGACACTTTTAAGTTAAAATAGTGTTATAGTGCTAGTATACTGTGGTTTGTGTTTATTTTTTTATTGTATCGATTTTTAATTTATTAGAAATTTTAATACCTATTTTAAATTATTCAAAACATTTATTATTTCATTTAAATAAATTGTTATAATGGCTTCACCCAATATAAATTTATGTAGACAAGATGAAATATATTTAGTAAGCAAAATTACGAATCAAATTGTAGGCAGTAAATTTTGTCGAATAAATAAATTTTCATAACCTTTTACTTTATAACTTAAGACATGTAAATTAAATTTGTATGGAAGTGCAAAATTAATATTTTCTGAAGTATCATTTTTCTGGTACATAGAAATAATTACGATTAAAGAAGAACATCGATTTGTGTATTTACATGAAAAATTGTAACCAAATTTAAGAGAACTTCAAAAATTGTCAAAAAAAACTACTACCAACTAACATCTAAATAAAATCAGTCAATATATGGAACAGTTAAACGTTTGATTTGATATTTATCATTTTAATTCATTAAATATGATGAAAATTGAGGAAGATAAAACGTTTTTGTTGTTAAAAACACAGAAATGTAGACTTGGTTGCCCATGCTAGGCATAGGCAACATGTTGACTCAAAAGGAAAAAAATGAAGAATTAAAAAAAAAAAAACGCACACACTCGGAAATGGAAACTACGAAATGGATCGTCGGAATGATAAATGGATAAAAATATTTGGTGTAATTAAGTACTTTTCAGAATACTTATATTTATAGTTTATAGTATATAGCGTGTTCAATAAGTTCGGAAACACCGATTTTTTAGAGCCGCTATTTGTTTTTAATATTTTTTTTTTTGCAGGCTAATAGATTAATTAAATGCATATTTTTCGATTAAAATTAAAATTCAACCCTATGTAAAAGGGTAAAAATCTACCTTAACTTAAGAAATTTAAATGTTTTAATTTAAAACCCCTAATTTTTCTTACTCATTTCAATAGAGTATTCAATTTTAAAAAGAATTATGGTGAAAATAACTTATTATGTTAAACTATTTTTAAATAATCGTCATTTAAAGGCAGATTTTGCTATGATCATTTTTATGAATTTAATTTTATAATGATAATATTAATTGCAAATTATCTGCAAACTTATAAAAAAAGAAAAATTTTATTAAAGCATGTAAAAAGAACTTAAATGGACATTTTAAAAATCGCTCTCTTATACGCGATTTTTTATTGGAGTATTTGTAGAATATAACAATATCGGTCAATGCATATCATAATGTTTCCGGACTTTTTCCTATAGGAGTTTTAGCATTGGTATCTAACATACATAACTAGTGATCACTTTTATCTGTGACCGTTGGAAAATGCAATCATAAATCATATTTTTATTGATATTTAATAATTACATTGATAAGGTACAATATCAATTTAACAATATTATTGATCGTTTCATGCTCAACGATCATTAAGATAAACGAAGTAACAATAATCAGGCAATTTATGATTATTGTGTCTACGGAATTACACATTGATTAGTTTTTACTGTGGCAAAATGTGCTTCCAAACTCAAAATTGATGCTTTTAAACAACAAAATCTCAAAAAGATTACTTTGGNTTACACATTGATTAGTTTTTACTGTGGCAAAATGTGCTTCCAAACTCAAAATTGATGCTTTTAAACAACAAAATCTCAAAAAGCCAAAGTAAATAAAGACAGAGGATCAAATAGTATACTATAAATTATGTAAATTTTTCATGTAATGAAATTGCACTTATTGAATTTTTTTTTCTTCTAAATGTATTTTATTGTCTGGTTAAAAATTGTAATTAGTGGATTAGCTAAGGGGAGGCTAAAAGAGTCGTAACCACGCTTCATTGGCAGATTGTTACTATGAACAGTACTTGACTAGCTCTAGTATAAGCATGTGATGGTTTAAAATAGTTTTATGTCAACTTATATATAAGCAATTTAAATTGCTTTCTTCCTCTTTTACTATTTTTATTGAAAATGGATAAGTTTTATTTACTGTAATTTTTGTCATTTTAAATCGAATTCTCGGAGCATTATTTATTCAGTTTTTTTTACAATTATGTTTAAAAGTAGATTAATAAAAATTATTTGATTACAATACAGTATAACTGTTTAGCATATGACTTTAAATAAAATTTGAAATACATTTACAGAACTCAATGATTAAAGAAACTATTTAGAGTTTGATATTCAATTTGAAGGGGCGTTACTATAAGGGTTTATGAGGAATAGAGTCTCCCTGGATATTTTCTTTCAGGCTAGAGTACTACTAGTCATAATAAGCACAATTTTTAATGATTATTATACCTTAATGAATATTCATAGTAAAATGTAATATATTGATAGTGACACATAAAATATTTTACGTGTCACTAGAGAAAAGGATGTAACCTTGGTCTCCCAAATGATTCATTAATCTCCCTCAAAAATAATTAGAAAATATATTAATTGAATAAAAATAATTGTATGAATTTTTATATAGTATGTCTCAAAGCTAATTGACAACGTTAATCACTTTTGATATAATTATCATTTTGTAAATTATATTTATATTTATTTTCTTACAAAAGAATTGTTATCACCGATCAAAAATATTCGTAAAAAAAACGCTAAATTTAATTATTTTGTAATTTTGAAGAAAAAATATTTTTTTTTCCTATAAGTAATAAATAAAAAAAAATATGTTTTAAAAGTAGTCTAAGTAGGCAAAAATTATTTTAAAAATTATGATAAATATCAATAAAATAAATTGATACAGTCATAAGTTTTCACGGCCCTTTATCAGCCTTCGCCCTACTGTGAGTATTTGACTGACCGAAGTCCAGTAAGTGCCGCACGACCAGACTCGATCCGCACTCGCACCCCGTCGCCCTCAACGCTGCTAACTTATTGACGCCCGAGGATCATGTTGAGCACCGCGTTACCGACGTCAGCGAAAGTGTCGCGATATTATGCGAAGATTATTATTAACTGTGTTCGTCTTTTCAGTTTGTTTATTTTTAAATAAAAAAATTTTAAATAAGATTTTGAATAATTAACGGTTGTCTACCATCAAAAACAGTGTCGACTATTATATTCGCGCGTAAGTCGTGTCAAAGTTATCAATAAAAACGCTTATAAATATTGTTGAATTTTTACGACTGAGATACTGTATAAAAATATATTTTAGAAGAAGAGAAACGTAAAAAAATATCATTAGCCCAACAAGAACAGCCAGAAGACAAAAACTTGACTAATTTTGTCTACCTATCTACACCTATGTACACAATCGACAATGTTTTTATTACTTATTTTACTTTAGTATGTAAAAATAATAATTTGTTAGTACAAAATTAATCATCAAACCGATGTAGAATGACTATTTCTTTTTTTTTTTTTTGTAATAAGAAAATAATTTAATACATTTTTGAAAATTAAAATGGCAATAATACTAAATATTCAAGTGTACCTTTATATATTTATTGTTTTTTTGCATACCGAAGGAATAACTACTAAAAAAGATATCACCGGTAAAATTAACTATTTCCTACATGGACGTGGATGGGAAAACATAACTGATGTGGAATATATCTTGTATTGGGGTAATAAGTATAAATTTGAAGAAGTGATTATACCTGTAACACCACATAATTGCAATAGCTGCATACGTCACGCTACAATATTCCTCGGATGTTCTTACGCTAACGATTTAACTAAATTGTTTATTGCATTAAATAAATTTGAAGACAATTGTTATACGATTTTACATTCTAAGAAACATCTTGATAGCGCGTATAATTGTACAGTCAAACTTTTAGAAAACTTGTTTGAAGTTGGTTCATTGGCAACTTTAATGAAAGGAGCTTTATGTGCTATCGAATGGCATCATACTTTGCCATGGAATAAACACAAGAATACACGTTTCATTTTAAGCAGTGTTATAGAAAATTTTCAGTCAGATGCAATTTTTCACAAATTGATTCATCTGAATAAAAGTACAATTTCGATTAATTTAGTATTATTGCATATTAGGCGTTTATTACGCATGAGGAAAGGAGAAATTTTAGTGGATATGGTACTTTGTAAAACAAAACCCTTAGATATGGATCCAATGTGGAATTTTTTGGATAAAGATCTTGCCATATTAAAATCTCAAGAAAAATATGAAGAATTTTTTATTATGCTTAGTTATAAATTAAGCAATTTAGTTCAAACGATATTTCAAAAAAAGTATGTGGAACTTGGTTTTATATTTGATTCAGCCAAAAATCAGACATATATAACAGCTCCATTAATCGATCAAGGAGGTGATATTTTTATAATACATTTCAGTACTTCAATTTACTTATAACATGATATTACGATTAAAATGCAATATATTTATATGTATGTATTATATTTTTAGACGACACAAAAAATCTTTTGAATAATTTAACACAACAAACCAATCAAATAGACAAGCCGGAAGAGGCGCAAGGTAAATGTAAAGATTTTGTTATACACTTCTATGCATTTATTTTTAATTTAAATAAGTTTTCATTTGAAATAGTAACCACGTAAATATTTTTAAATATGGCAAAAACCCTTTTTCAAATTTCATACAAAATTCCAATGAAGTAAATATGCAAGAAGGTGATACTTTTATAATACACTATAGTACTTCAATTTACTTTTAATATGGTATTGCGATTATACTTATTTTTCCTCGCTTTAATCCCAACTACTGGGGTCGGCCATAATATGGCATTACGATTAAAAAGCAATATATTTATTAGTGATGGGAAATATCAAATAGTAACTATCGGACTATTCGATAGTCATTAAAAAAATATTCGATAGTTACACAATATATTCGAATAGTTTTAAAAACTATTCGATAGTTTATGCTAAAAATAAACTATTCGGTTGTATAAACACAATTCGAATATTTATTCGATAGTTTAAAATATTCGAAAATGGCCATCATTAATATTTATGTATGTATTATATTTTTAGATAGCACACAAAATCTCTTGATGAATTTTAGAGAACAAATGAATGAAACAGACGTGCCGGAAGAGACGCAAGGAAAATGTAAAGATTTTATTATACACTTTTATACGATTATTTTTAATTAAAATAAGTTTTCAATTGAGCTAACAATGTGGTTGTTAGTTCAATAGTTAAAAAATAATCATCTATTTTTTTTATGAAGTTTTATATATATCTGGTTCATTTTTTTCTTCGAAGTCTTATTTCCAAATAAATATTATTACTTATTTGTTCAAATGTATACTTTCGATATTGTGAAATGTCTGCTGTTCTTTATTACAATTAAAGTTATCGTTTACCTCTATTAACGAAACTAGGGATTTAAAAGTGCATAACCCTCCAATAGGCCGCACGGTGGTTTGAAAGCCAATTTTAGGCACTCATAAGTCTCATTTTAAAATGTACTCACAATATTTAAATAATTATGAGTATTCAATTCTAGTATATTGCTAAAACAAAACTTAAAATTTAAGGCTACATGTTAATTCGGTAGTTATTTATAGCCGTTTATAGATATGATTATATTACAGTTCTATTAACATAAAAAATATCTTTCGTTGTCAATATTTTTAACAACATTTTTTTTCAAAATTTTTTATTTTATTTTAAAAATATGATTTTTTTTGTGGCAAACAAAAATAACTCTACAATATCAATACTTGGGTAAAATAGGGTAATTTTTGGTATTGTGCTTTTTAATTACTATAACGACTCAAAAAAAATACTCTATATAATTAAAATATTCTATTTAATTAAAATGATTATTACTTAGTCAAAAAAAATTCTTTGGCATTTACCTTTAATAAAATAAAATTAAAAATTTTGAAAAAAATGTTTAACTTGGTAAAATTATTGACAACGAAATATATTTTTTATGTTAAAAGAACTGTAATATAACCATATCTATAAATCAAACGGCTATAAATAAAGATAGGATTAACATGTGGCCTTAAATTTTATGTTTCGTTTTAGCAATATACATGAATTGAGTATTCATAATTGTTTTAATATTGTGAGTACATTTTAAAATTGGACTTACGAGCGCCTAAAATTCGCTTTCAGACTATTGTGGGCTGGCTGCATAGCAACATATTAGGTAAAGTAGTGATATAAGTTAAATATAAGTTTAATTAAAGACAATGTACTATTTTTTTATTCAATAAATATAGAAAACCAATTTGCTATTATTTTTGTTTGATAATTTTTTTTTTTGTTTAGAATTAGAAATTATGAGTAAAGCAGAAGAAGATTCAAAATTATCGTATATTTTGATGAAATGGTACCGTTTAAACTTATGTACCTCTAAAACATTTTCATCTGCCAAATTGTCATTACCATTATAGTAATTAACCAAATTATAAATCCAATTATTGTAATAATTATTTATTTATACATACACAGTGCAAAATGAATCACATTTTCTCTCTTTATTTGTAATATGAACACTTTAAGTAGTATTTAAGTAAATAATGTAAAATTTCAAGAAAAATACAATTTTAAATTTAATACAGAGTTATTTCTTAGCTACTCCTCACGAAATATACTCGAAAATAAGGTCTAATAAATAATTAATTTTTTTAAGTAATAATAGTTCAGAATTTTTTGAAATTTTTATTACCACCTTCAGTGAGGATCTGACAGTGATTAAAATCACTATCAAAAATAATACTTCAAAGCAAATCTTTAGATAGTGTTTAATTAAAAGAAATTGGTGTATTATTCTAAAAGTAACGTTAACTCCAAATTCCTTAACTATATCGTGTTTAATAGTTCTTTGATTTATAAGTATAAACTGGCATACAAAAATGTTCATCAATGTCAAAAATGTACTTTTCTAAACCTATTTTCGTACAAATTTTTAATCTGCTATTACATTTTTTCTATCGTCTCTTATTTTTAAGAAGACTAATTAGTAAAAAAACGAATATTTGCATGTAAAAAAAACCAACATAGTGCGAGAAGAAAGACAGCTAATGAAGGTGATTAAATCAAGAAGATATCTGACAGTGATTAAAATCATTATTATAGAAAACACTTTGATGCAAATCTGTAAATAATGTTGAGTTTTGAGAAGATATTTTTAAAAATTATTCCAACAATAACATAAACTCATTTTTCTTTTTTATATCCTGATTGCAAGTTTTATTATTTATAAGTATTGCTGAAGATTTGTATTAATTATTTATCTCACTATTTTTTTTTTTGTTATCTAATAACAGGCGGCCGGCATATGTGTGTGCGCGTTAATGTTATTGTACGTTCTACTGCCCTAACGAAAGCGACGATCTCCTAGTTTCCTCATTTTATAAGTTATTTTTAATGATAAAAATAAATATATATGTTTCAAATAGTAATGTATATTAAGCTTTATTGATTCTTCTTCTTTTCCTCGCCTTAATCCCATATACTTAGGGTCAGCAACTCTTTTAAAAAAAAGTTAACACCCCTAATAAGGTATAGTGGATGAATTAAAAAATGTAGACTAAAAAAGTCAATAATATTACAAAATAGGAACTATAATCTAGAAATACTTGCTCAAATTACTTAACAAAATACATAAATTCATCAAAACTCAATGTTAACACATTTACTAAAAGCTTACAATTTTTATCTTCGATGCAAAGCTGAGAAGGTATTGGTTTTACATGATGTGTTTTTTTTTGTGTCTGTTACCACTTTTTCTCAGCTCTCACCGAACCGATTTCTTTCAATGATACGTCAAAAGATCACAAATTGTATCTTTAATCTAGAAAATTATTATTTTTTTGAACTTTTATATTTACTATGAAAACAACATATATAAGGACCAGACTTATTCAATCAAAAATAAAATTACTCCATTTGTTTACATTTATCCCACTTCACTCTATCACTAGTTTTTTAGAGAAAATGGAAATTTATAATGAAATACAAAATAATAATCATAATAACAATTTAGTATTCAGACAGATTTTAAAAATAACACATTTTTTCAATTTTTAAGAGACTATGTCAACAATAATAACAAATTACTACACTTTAAATATACTTATTTTTATATTTCAAGTACTGTGAAAAAAATGGAATTCGCAAGTAGCGACACAAATTTAAAAAAAGGTTTAAATTAAATTTTACATTAAAAAACCCAGCACAGTGGGTTGGCGGCACTGGAGTCGTGGTATAGTTGGGTCCAGTATAGATGATATCTGACAGTGATTAAAATCACGATCATAAAAAACGCTTCGATGCAAATCTGTAGATAGTGTTTAATTAAAAAAAAAATTTGTCAAAAAAGTAGGTTAAGTGAGAGCTGAGAAAATAAATGATAGCTATAAAAAAAAAACTACATAATAAAATTATATTAATATAAATGTCTTCTCACGAGAGGAGACTACAGTAATGGGATCCTTGATATTTATTGAAGTTATTGAATCTAAATGAGTTAAACATTTTTTTCTAACTTAAAAAGAATTAAAAAAAAATTCAGTGCCACAGGCGTAAAAGACCCAAGTGTTACCGTCTCAGAAACCGTACGTCGCATTCGTCACTTAATAAAAATAGAAATTTAATTAGTTCAAATTTTAAAATTATTTTTCTCGACTTCAAAGAAACAAAAAAATTTAAATATGTTTAACTTTTTATATTATGTCAATTAGATTTATATAATATTTATGAAAATCAGTGTAATCCCCTTATAATAAAATAAAATACAAAACCAAGAATTTTAACAGAAAAATAGTATATTTTTGAATACGGTAGCTATTTTCACCATGAAGACAAAATAAAGTCCGAAATTTTTTTTTTTAATATCAAAGTATATTACATTAGCTTTAATTTAAGATATATATATATATAATAGTGTCAGTAATTCCGGAACACTTTCAAAAATTAAGTTGAAAAAGTTCTACTTTCAATATGCATTTTTTAGATTTGAACCCCCCTCGTATATAGGGAAATGGTCCGATTTAAAAAAACAGTATTCTGAATAAAAGATGTATATAAATACTACTTTTCATGAAAAAATTGTATTGATCCATACATTTTCAAAAAGTTATAGCATAATAAATTTAAAAATGTAAAAAACAATATCGAGAATTTTCACACAAAAATAACATTCGGTTGCCATTTTTACCGTGAAGATAAAATAAACTTCGATATTTTTTTTTAATAATAAAGTATATTACATTAACTTTAATTTAAGATATATATAAAAGTGTCAGTATTTCTGGAACACTTTTAAAAGTTAAGTTGAAAAAGTTAGTTTTTTGTGAAAAAGTTGTCATTTTGAATCCCTCCCTTTGGGCAGGTAAAGGGTTAAATTTATAAAAAAAATAAATCAAATGGTAGGTAAAGACATTATGCATCTATAAAAAAAAAGTTATATTGATTTGTTCATTTTTGAAAAAGTTATGGCAGTTTTAAGTAAAAAAAATTTAAAAAATTTCGAAAATTAATAATTTTTAAATTTGTAATTTTTTTGGAGATTTCCCCCATTTACGAGGAACGAGGGAAATATTTTCAATTTTTAAAGGTAATGTCTATGACTAGATACGATTTGTGATCTTTTGACGTATCGTTGAAAGAAATCGGTTCGGTTAGAGCTGAGAAAAAGTGGTAACAGACACAAAAAAAAAATAAATAAATAAAAAAAAACATCATAGTCAAATTAATACCTTCTCAGCTTCGCATCGAAGCTAAAATAAAATATTAATACTTTTTTGTTTTGATTGTATTTTGATTACTAAAATACATTAAAATCTGATCTGAATAATTTTTTTTTATAATAATAATAATTTGTGTTAAGATTATGCTACAAAAGCAAAACAAACAACACAAAATGTGATGTAAAGAAAGTTCTAAAATGAAATAATTATTAAATAAAAAATGCTTAAAATTCATCCTATGACTTAAAATATGTGTTATGTTATTATTGTACTAATATTGTTTGAGCTTACCGAAGAATTTGGTTGCAATATTTCGTAATTTCTCGTTTGCATGAAATAACTTGCAAGCATTAAAGTCTCTGTAGCTGTACACGTGGCTGTAACATATATCACAGCGCTCTTACACCTTTCTGATGTAACAATTACAGTTCCTTTGAACGAACAAGGTCTGTTATCACTTCGAAATGATATATCAATGTGAGACATCGAGTTATTAATGAATTCAGATTTATTATCCACGAACGAGGCACTGACAAGGTTGTGTACATTTCCTAGTACTTTAATGTTGGCCTTTTTTAATATCAAACTTGAACACTGAACGCGTATTCTACGATTATTTTGTACCCCCACGGGAACAGCTATAAAATGTACCTGTAAACAAATGTTTGAACGGTAATCAATTTTTATTCTAAAGTTAAATTTAAGTGTGGATCACTATTGAAAATTTTTTTTTATGTGCCATCTACAATCTAATTAGGTATATATATTGGCATAAAAAGTTCTATGTTGTAGTAAAAAATAAACGTGAATTAGGAAACAATATATTTTAAAATAAATGATTATACAGGAATTTAAAAAACATTGTATTGTAGATTTCAAAATCAGGAGTCTCATGTAGGCAACTTACTCGACAAAGTGCGACATAAGAAATGTACTGAGATACGAAATCGTACTGTCCGATGGTCAGTGTCTCAACAGCCGGTACACGAATTGACTTTGTCATAAAAAATATCGAATTTTTGTATGAACAGTGTTCATAAAAATTAATTAATACAATTAATCTATTAGTATGCACTATACGTGTCTCAATATACACCTTAAAAAGTTCTTTAAGTGACTAACGAATTACGTCGTGAAATGCACGCCATTGAAATTGTAGGAAAGTATTTATTAGGCTCTATTGAAAAACTACAGTTTTTGTACTCGATAATCAAACTTACATGAGTTAGATCTGTCGAAAATCGCGGCCATTCAAATGTATCGCCGTAAACTTCAACAGTATATTCATAGGGCTGATTAGTCGGTTTTATAAAAAGAGCACATTTATATACGCCGTAAGTATTTGTTGAAAATCTGATCCGGAAGAAGGTTACTGCGTTAGCCTTGACTGTACTAATGCCTCCAGACTCGCCAATTAGATAAAAAGGCGCATCAGACGGATCTTTAATTACACTAAAAGACACCGATGAGTCGCTTAGGTTTTCTACAATTAATATTCGGTCTTCTTCTCCTTTAGTTGAAGATGAATTTGTTTCTAAGCTCCGAAAAATAACTCGGCTTGGTTTTACCATTAAACTTGACTTATTCGATGAAAAAATGCAGTTCAAACACTGAGTATTCCTTTATTATTTATAAAAATAATGCAATTTTAATGACTATAAATAATTTGCTATGTAAAAAAAAGTCAATTAACTTATACAATTGCTATAAAATACAGTGTTTTTAGGATTTTTTTAAAATGTATTCTTCAATAAATAAAAAAAAGTTAGTGAATTAATAAAGAGAAATGTTCAGTATTTTTTTGTATGACTAATTTATATGACAAAATTAAGCATATTTTAAATTAATAAAAACAAATAAAAGATAATTTTATTAAACTCACATCTGTATTGGTTTATCGATTGTTGTTTTTGAAATATTATCTGAAAGTAACTTGTTTACTACAATTGGAATGTTTAATTCAACTTTGTTTTCTGCATCCACTTTAAATACCTTAAAAGTCATACGTAACCATTTGATACAATTTGGTCGTATAGCTATATTTTTTATCACTTGAGAATCTTTCCATTGATAATCTTTGTCAGGATATATGCACACCTCTATATTTTTACATTTAAAATCTATGCACTGATCAAAAGTCACTGTAATTTCAGCAGACGATTTATTCGTTAAAGCGAATCTGACCACGTGTCGAGCAAATAAACATCCATTTATTTGGAACTTTTGAGGTGTCAGTAATACCTTTAAAAAAACATACTTATAATTAGTTCTCGGAAGTTTATAAACCTTGTATTTTTTTTTAATAAACAAAAAATGAACCAAGTAGTACAGAGTGATTGTTTAATTATGACTCAAACAATATTTTTAAAATATAAATTATAATTTTTTCTTTCGGAAGTCTATGTATCTCATGTTTTACAAAAAAAAAAATTTCCCGTCCTTCTCTTTTTTCCTTAAAATTATAGTAACTTTAGTGATCAATTTTATTAGAATATATTGGGTGTTATTATCTAGTCTTAAAAAGAAATATGTTTTTTGCTATTGTAACCATAAAAATTAAAAATTATGATATTATTTTTATCCATTATATATTTTCAATAATTATCGAATGTCTTAAATAATTTTCAAGTGTAATTAAATATTCTTTAGCAAATCATTAGGTCAAGTTAAATATCTGCGCTTATTTCAAAGTACCTTTGGTATTATTCCATTTACGAGAAAAGGTATCGTTTGAGTTTTTTTACCGCCATTAATATTTATTTCAACAGCAAATGACAGAACGCCCTTTTTTGTTAGCGTGCTCACTATGTCTATAGGAGTAGCTGACATCGGTCGAACTTTGACTGTCGAAGGTGTGACTTTAATCAGTGGACTAAAAACGGGGGACACGACATCAATCCGAACATTGTCAGCCGTCTTATTAGTTAAAGTGAGGTGACCACAACTGAACCATCCTACACTAGAATCTGTGAGTGTCAGTGGGTATGTATTGCAGTCACTAAACCGTATATTTCTATTCGGATAGTAAGTACAATGTACTAGCAACTTTTTCTCATCACCATACCATAGTTCTAAAGTACGATGAAAAGGACCAACTTGAGCTTTAAACAGTTCATCAGGATCAAAACTGATTAAAAATCGAACAGTAACTTTTCCAGGTATAACACCTCGTATGGGATGTCCAAAAAATATTCGACGATCTGGATATCCGTCTCCGTTTAAAGTATTTGCTGCTTTCCATTTGAATTCAACTTCTGTATTTGAGGTGTTAGTTACATTGATAAAGCGCCATTCAGAGGTTGTCTGCTCTTCTCCTTTTTTAACCGAAGAAAAGTTAACTGTTTGAGGGGTGACTGTCAATACATCATTTTGAATGACGGACGCAATAACAGTTATTCTTTTGACTAAATTTTCTTTAGTAATACATTCTAATAATCTGAAATTAAGATTAGTTTATATACATATGTGATTTTTTTTCTCAAGGTTTCTTGTTTTAATTATTTTAAGATAAAAAATTATTGATAATTTTGTAATTGCTTGATGGCAAATTTTTTTTTAAATTAAAATAGTTGAAATTAAGGAGTATTCTGAACAAGATATTTGTGATTACTTTTAGGAAACCAAAACAATTTACCCGATGTAATCACCAGCTTTATTTTCATTGAATGTAATTTCAAATTTATATTCACTATTGGCCAAAATTTGGGCATTGGAAGGAAATACAGTTAGCCACGAGTAATTACTATTCCATCTAACATTTGTTGCGACTTCATTTTCATTGATAATAGAAATAGTCGTCATATGTTCGCTGTTGATTTTTAGTTTTCCTAATGACTTTTGAGTTACCTAAATAATTGAAAATCGAAGGGCTCTATTTTAAGAAAAAAACTTAAAACATTTATGTAACAAAATCATGAAATTACTTTTCCGAAATTCACTAGGGCCTTATTGAACTTTATTTTAAAATGACTAAATTGATTAGATTTATGATAAACCAAATTATTTCTATCACACTGATTATTCTTGATTGAAGGCCTATCAGTTTAAAAATAATCAATAATACTACAATACTTAGAAATAATTCTTTAGTTGATATAAAACTAATTTTGTTAGCTTTAATAACTTATTTAAAATAAAAACCATTTGCTATCAATTGTATAGACTTTATGAGTGTATTAAGTGAATTATATTTTTAGCCATTTACTTCAGCTTGCAAAGAAACTCTCTTTTCATGTTAACGTTTAATGTTGTAAAACATTAATTTCAATAGTGTCAAACAGACATTGTCAATGAATTCAGAGTGGATTAATTTGATTAACTAGTTTTAGGAATTGTAGTTTTTTGAAGATAATTGTATTAGGGTTTTAAAACAAATTTTCATTTGATAAAAATTGATCATTGAAATTATATGATTATTACTAGATTAAAATTGCAATTTAAAACTTACAGATCAATCAATGGTATACATTTGCGGTCGATAACCTCTGTAAAAGTTTCAGTTATATTAAATTATATGTTTTTTAAACTCTAAACTTGGTGAGTTTACCTGATATAGTGTAATTTGTTTTTGATAATTTTAAACTTTTAGTGTCAAATATTACTGTTGTTGTTACACCTTTTACTGTAGATTTCGTGAGCAGCTCAAATGAAATTACTGAAAGTATCATAAAATTATGAATAATTGTGTGTATGCATAAATTTAAAGTCAACATACACATATTAGCTTTTAAAAGTCAATATTGTTTTGTATAGAAGATTTTATTATGTTTACGTAACATGGTGTAAATATAGTTTAAATAGAGGTATTTTAAAATATTATTCAATAGTTAATATATCTAAAACTAATTATCTAATCAAATCAATTGTTATAAGAAATTTTAGCGTTAGTATTAGGAAATTAAAAAAAATACAAATGGTTCAGATAACTTAATAACTTAAAGTTATAAATTAAAATTTTAAGGTTTTTGAGAAATTATTTTTTATTGAAAGAATACTTTTAGCTTTCTCATAAAAAGTGTTATTAGATAATAACACATCAGCTAATTTTACAATTACTTTTTTGAAATTTTATTTCGGTATGTAAACGCACGTCTAGCTTTTGATTTTCATTTGGTCTCAACGTGATTGTTTCAGGGCGCATTGAAGCCATTTGTCCTTTCAGCAATCTTATTGTTACTGGTAAAGAGGTAGCTGCTATGTGTTTGAACTCGACTTCAAATCCATATAAATTAAATTTGTATAAATTATCTATAAACTTGAGTGATTCATAATTGTTTATAATTTTGAATTTTTCATTAAACGACAGTGTAATGGTATTGTGACATAAGTAACCCTCTACTAAGATTGATGGAGCTCGAGATTTTTCGATTGACATGATAAAATCTTGTAAGTTTCCATTTTGATCTATGGTATCTATTAACCGTTTTACATTTGTATACAAAAATATAACATCATCATATTTCGAGATTTTTACAATAAATAATAATTACCAGAAATTTAATTTAAAAATATAAGAAAATAAATATGAATACTAAATATTAAAGCTGATTATTGTATCAATTTTATCCGATCTCTTAAAGCGATTTATTGAGTTATTTCATATAAGTATAATGAATTATTTTTAAAATGTTTTAAAAAGATATGTTAGTCACATATTAGTCACGTGCACTATTGACAGATTGTTAAGTTATATCAACGGCTATTGTTGAAGATCATCCTATTCTTTCATAACGAATGAAAACTCTAAACCACATTTGTCACACGCTGACTAAATGCGTCTTTATACGATCAATAAGTAATAATTAACGGCCGGCAAGAGAATAGAAATAAATAAAATAAAAATCTCACGTAAGCGGTTAAAGGGGTTATCTGCTGTGCTCATCACTTTTAGGCAAAGACGAGGATTACTGTTTTCATGGTCAACTCCGTCTAATGGACAGTACCTATAACAATAATAATTAATAAACGGTGTGGAATCAATGTCGTCATTGTCCAGCTGTTTGCCTAATGATAACACATTGTATTATTTAGATTTAGCGATTCATCCTCCGAGAATTGTGTCGATTCATCGTTAGAAAAAACTATCGATAAAGTTCGTGAAAAAATCTTTGATCATGCAACTCGTGAAAATTAATAAATGATTTATAATATTGGTCATGTGAAGAATTTTATATTGAATATTTAAAAACTGTGTAAGTCAAGACGAATAAACTGTACTGACTTTTTGAATTAAAATAAAAATAATTATGATTACATGATTTTAAATTTATCTAGTGATCTATTAAGCTCGGTGTTATTTTTTAAAAATATATTCATCAAACTACAACAATCATTGTAATAACTAAAGAACACAAACTTAATTTAGTGTAAATATAAACTACATTTTTCATTTATTTTACCTTACACTGATTGCTTGAGTTTCAAATGGTTTTAGCTGAAAATTAGTCGGTTGAACATGGTACCGTTTGAAAAAGACGTTTTTTTGTTGTAGTTGACCAAGAGACTGTATATAAAAAAATGTAATGTTCAAAATTAAATTTAGTAGAAAATTTTCAAACTAACCAAAACATTTTTATCGGTTTGATTTTCAGTCATAATTAAATAACAATTGTCTTCCGTACTGTTATTTTTGACAAATACAATTTTTTCTCGGCTAACAGAAACAAATGAACTTCCAAGATACACGAGTCCGACATCATTTTCAATAATATTGTCACTAATTATTATACTAGTAGTAGGATAAATTACTGTTGCATACAGTCGTACATCAAAGGAATTCGATGAAGATTTAATACTTTGGTTGAAACATAAAATATAATTGACGAATTGAATATACATAAATCATAAGTTTTATAAAAAGATAACATAGTTCCAGTAGGTTTTTAATAAATTTAAATATTTACTTACTTTAAATAAAATTCATTCTTCCCTGTTTTAAACCATACGACTTCAACTGTAATTAATGTTGATGACCTACTATTGGATGTGATATATTTAGGGTTTATAGACGCCTGAACATTTTTTGAGCTGTTTGGTATGTTGGTAGTAATTTCTAAAACATCTATTCCGTTACCTTTAGATATTTTTAATGTTTTTACAACTTTTTGGGCAACAATAACTTTATCAAAATTAAGTTCACGAGGACAAATAATCTCCATGAGTTATCACTACTATTTTTCGTATATAAAAAAAAAAATACAAATTCGATAATAATTGAGTGAAACGTGTGAAATTATGTACAAACTATTTGTACTAGTTGCCATGGGTATATTTATAAAGGAAGCAAAATGTTAAGATATTAATCAATAAATTCTTTGATAAAACTATTTTTTAAGATGAAAATTTAAAAAAACCTTAAAAACAATAGTAACGTACATTCAATATCTATAAAATATTTATAGACTGATGGTAATGGAGTTGTGGTGTAGTGAAAAGAGTATATAACAAAATAGAATGAACACAGAAAGTTCGGTTTGTGTGCGGATGGGTAAAGTGTCGAGATAAATCTGATGTGCTATGCGATAAGAGAATTCCAACGAAACTGATAGGTAACTTCTATATGAATGTACTGAAACCAGCTATGACGTATGGGTCAGAATGTTGGGAGGTTGACAAGAGAACAGAGCAGAAATAAGATGAATGAGATAGATGAGTGGACTGATTAGAGATGATAGGATAAGGAACTAATATAAGAAGGCATAAAGGAATAGTGTCAATCGTAGATAAGATGAGAGAAAATAGACTTAAATTGTTTGGTCATGTTATAAGGAGAGAGAAATCGAAACTGTAAGAACAGTTATAGAAATGATTGTTGAAGGAAGAAGAGGTAAAAGTAGACCAAAAAGGAGATGGAGGGATGTTATTGAATGCGATATGAGGGCGGCTGATGTGAGCGTAGAGGATGTGGGGGGTCGCGTTAAGTGGAAATTTAGGATAAGGATGGCTATAAATTTGTCTTATTATTATTTCTTACGAATTTTTTTTTATTGTAATTTTTTAATGCGATTTATTACCTAAATTATTAAGGTTTTATTTTTTAAATTTTCCCGCTCTAAGTTTTGATAGAAAATTAGTTCAATTACACAATTAATTGAAATTTCGTCAAATATGGACTAAAACACTTTTTTGTACTAAGTCGTCTTATATGTTCGGGCTGAGGTGACACGAATAAGTCAACACATGGGTGTCTAGTATACAACTGATTAAATTAAAAAAATATACTACCGTGCGGCGATAACAATTCCGTCAATAACCGGTTCAAATACACATCATCGTCGAAATAAAATAATTTTTTTCTCATTAAATGATATACAAGAAAAAAAAAATAACAAAGACAAAACAATAACAAAAACATCGATAACGATAAAAACAAAACAACAATGATAAAAATAATATCAAAAACAACATCAAAAATTACAAAACAAATAGGAAACTAGTTAATGAATTAGTTTAGCTCCAACCTCGGATCTGTAACTATCGCTCTAGATATGAATTCTACTATTAATTTTTTTTTCTTTATTAAAAGACTTTAAAAACTATGATTGTCATTAAATTAATTTTATTTTTACAATTTATAAACTTTAATAATTATTTTTATATTGTCAAGTAAATAAATATTAAATATTTAATAAATTTAATTTACAACTAGTTGGCTAAACTTAGGTTAGTAAAGAAGTGACATATCGCCTTTTCATTTTCTTCTCAAAGTGCCATTTAGAGGGGAGATTTCCTAGAATTATTACGGCATTTATTGAGTATAGTTAAGTTAATAGTATAGGATTTTTAGAATATCATTTGTTAAAGAAAATGCTTTATTTTTAAATAATGGACTTAAAATAATTGGAAAAAGAAGAAGAAGAATTATTTAGAAAAATTAAATTATTAATTGTTTAAGAATTTAAATTAATACGAAAACCTCCAAATTCTTTAAAAGGTTATCTTTTGTATTCATATTAGCTTTTGTTTTATCACAAAAAAAGTATTAAATTATCTAATTGAACGTCAAGAAAATTATTATTTTAAATCAATCTATTTTAAAAATGTATTTTTAATCATATCATATCGAATTCCAAAATTTATAGAATGCCCTGTACACATTTCGTTAGGTTGTTTTATATTTTATTTTAATTAAGAGTCTTTTTCAAAAATTCCCTTAAATTTGAAGCAAAAGAACAAGTTAACAGTTGAACACAAAGAAATTCTACGGTATTTTTAATACGCCTTTCGTACACTTATTAAAACTAAATAACTCGACATACTTACCTTTGTTGTGATAAAGCACACGACTAAAAATTTTTTAACCAGTTTATATACTTGAAACGGTTTTTGATGTCCTGAAAAGTAATAAAAATGAAAAAGGTGAAAAATTAATATGACTGACAGTATGAACTTATGAGTAAGTATTGGTGTTCGCGCTGCTTAAAATACTAGATAGCGCGCTTATTCGGTTCTGTCCACTCATCTTCCCTTCTCCCGATCTCTGGGCGGCGTCGGCCGGTTATCACTGCCGGTCGACATGTGTATGTAATTAGATTAGTATAAAATTAGGAAAATATTTTGTTGCTTGTACGATTTATTAAAAATCATATTCATGTTTTTTGCTAAAGTAAATGTTATTCAAGTTTGATTATGTAGTTAGCTGCTTTAGCATAAGTAATATTGTATTATATGATTAGTGTATTTTGGTGTTTAATATTAGCCGAAATTATTTAAGTCACACGGATGACGTTGTCGGATTATCTAAGGTAACAATTTTATGGTTTATTTGTTGTTATATTCCACACGGCTGGATTAGGAAAATTGTGTAAGTCACACGGATGACAATTGCCAATTTTAATTCATAAATCATACAAATAATCTTAGTGTATATTAATTATATATCCAACACTATTATTTATATTTAATCTCTTTTTTAGTTATATCTATGTGTATATAATCAAATTCATAGTTAATAATACTGATTTATATTTATTGTTATATTTGTCAACTCTTATTAATAAATTGCATAAGGTGCTATTGTAAATTATAAATACTTAATACAATTTGAATTATTGTTATTTGTATGAAAATATAAGGAATTTTGTGTGAACTAGCGACCACAGTTTTCTTTCAAAACAAATATAAATGTCCTAAAATCCTTTCTTATTAATCAATGGGTAAGCGTGATATAATTTCTCGCCCCTGGGATTAACAATTGGAATAATTAGATTTGCAATAAAAAAAATAGTGTCCACTTGACTTGACGCCGGGTATATGGGTATCACGCCGGGTATCATGGAAAGTATTGGTTCCGAAGTTCATCGAATTTCTTATGAATTTCTGGTATCTTGTCGCAATTTTTTTTGGTTTACCATTATTCTTTTATTTTATTTACGACTATTGTGTTGCCTACACAGGACGCCGTTTTTCAATATGTACTACTTTTTATTTTGTATTTTCGAAGCAATAGTTCATTCTATTTTTATTTTGTATCCTTGTATAATAATTAAATTAAGTATGTATTGTTATATAAATAACAATTCATAATTTAATACTCATAATTTTTCTTCGTCTTGTTGTAATAAACAGTTAAATTAAAATATACAATGGTTATCGCATGTTCTGACAAATTCTATAACTTTTAATACAGTCACTATTTTGCAATACTTTTTTCAAAATAATTTTTACGCTTTAGTACTACAAAAATAATATACATTATAATATATTTTAATTAACTTAAACCGAGAAGTTCGTATTTCTTGAATAACAATTTTGCTCTAAGTGTTATTTATTTCAATAAGATTTTTCTTAGAAAAAATTGTCCTTATAACTAATATTTAATTCGAAAAGAATGCATTTTCTTTTCAAATACCAGTAATAAATGCCGACATTTAATATCGTGTAATGTGCATGTAAAATAAATGTAAAAGTTAAACTGCTCTCGGTAAAATTAATTATTAAAAAAAATTCTATTTTTAACTCTATTTAATTACAAAACATTCAACTATTTAACTTCTGTTTAAATCTATTCTACAAAATGACTAATTTGAATTTTCCAAACTGTGTTTTAATATTTTTATTTTTTTAAACAAATTTAAATATTATAATTTATACTATTCCTAAAGCGTAAAAGTACTAAAAAATAATCACTACAACAAAAGTTGTAGGATTTGTTAGAACGTGCGTGTCCAAAAAACATAATGAAAAAAATCACGAGTGTACTATAAAATACAGTTGATTTACGAATTTGTGTAATAATTTAAATTCAATATTAAAATGTTTATTTATTTAAACTTAAATTTTTAAGAAGACTTTAAATATTTTATTCTTTACTTTCGTATGATTTATTTCATTTTTCTCTTTAATATTGTAAGTAAAAATTGGAATACTGATAAAATTGGGTGTATAAATATTTAAAAACTAACGTTGCATTATTTTTTTTTTTAAAGGAACAAATATTGACGTATTTTTGTTCGTAAAACGAAAGAAGATACAAATATTTATGACTATGGTACATTCAAATACCGCCTTATTTAAGATTCCATTACACGGCAACGCCTTGGAAAAACGCCAATATATACACGTGTAAGATATTCGTTGTGAATGCGATTTAAAAAAAAAAAATGTGTAGTGTAAATCGTAGGGCGTGAAGTATTGACCGTCTCTACCAGGTGTTTCTGGGTGACAAACACTCATCTTATTTTCGGTATACATATGTATGTGAACGAATTATCTACGGTACCCTTTGATTGACGGTACTATTGTGTGATGTTTTCGATCGACCTCCGTCTGATTCATAAGTCACGCCGGCCTTAATACAGAAAATCCATCGACGAAATTCGTTACGCTAAGGATCCGATTCGGCTCGACTCACTGCGGCCGACAGCTGATGCCTTTTTTTGGCGACAACAAAATCGGAAAATATTTGCCTTCTAACTTTTGGCGTGTCTACCGACAACATAAGCTCCCATCTATCGAGTAAAGCACGAACATCTGCCCAGTAATATCCGTCAGTTTAACCAGAGGGCGAAATCTTAACGTTCCGCTGGTTTTTTTTGTAAACGCATTATAGAATTTATTATTTTTTTCACAATGAGGTTGTTTTACAAAGCCAATGACAACCTGAAATATACAAAAACGTTTTGATGCATAATTATCAAGTGTAAAATACATATAACAAAGAAAATATATTACATATACAGTTAATATAATTAAACCTTTGTACGGATAAAAATGAGTGAAAAGTATGAAAACTTAGCACAATTAGAGGATTAATTTTACAGCATTCTATAGAAAAAAAAACAAAGTCTCATTTAAATTATTTATACATTATATAAATATATATTTTAAATTATATTAAACTGTACAATTTATAAATTTTTCATGAAATAAATTATATTTACAGTTACTAATTATAGCTCTAATATATTTA